AAAGTTCTGGCTGTACTTGTCACGAATCTCTCGTGATGTCACCACCGGTCAAGTACGAGATCTCGCAATGAAACGCCTAGCTACAGAAGATGTCGAGGTCGTCTGTCTGGTGGCAAAAGGAAATGATGTAAATACCATGACGTTCATTTCTTTCAAAATCGGACTTAATCCGGACCTCAAGTCAAGAGCCTTCTCAACGTCACCCTGGCTCAAGGGTGTCCTATTCCGCGAATTTAAGGACAACACTAAAGTAAATTTTTGGAAGCCTCAACGTACGCCAAAAGCCACTCCTTCATCGGACATCGATTCCCCCAGTGGACCAGATCCGGAGGAAACCGACATGATGGAGTAAATTCTGGTACACTACGACGAAGCAATAACTACACTTACTCTTCAACCCCGGGACGCATCACTTCTGGTATCACGGAAGGCCCTGATCGAGCACAGTCGAGCTTTTCCAGCCAGTGACCAACAGCCGTCCCGGTCCTGTGTCTGGGACTGGTGAAGGGTCCTTCCAAGCCGCTTATCTAGGCAAGTACAATTTTCATTTAAGTACTTCGATTCTTGATGCGTCAATCACTTCCAGCATTCCGTCTTTTTCAACGCTTCCATTATCAACTTCTGATTGCCCACTGGGATGCACCGCCGTTGGCATTACGGAAGCCCCAATCCACCCGCCACAGTCGAGCCATTCCAGCCAGCAGCCGTCCCGGTCCTGTGTGTGGGCCTGGTGACGGGGTCTATCTCTTCTATCGCTAGGCGTCACGCAAATGGAAGCCACCGGATAATGAGACGCACCGCCGTTGACTTTATGGAAGTTCCTGAACCCCCCACCATCTGTACGACACAGCAATCGTCTCGCCAAGCGGCAGTCCGTAGAAACGATAAGCAAGTGTCATCTGATGTCTTGCTGTATTATCAAAACCTGGATGGAATCAACAGCTCCCTGGCAGAGTACCGGCTTGCATGCAGTGACGCCTGCTACGATATCTACGCTTTTACCGAAACTTGACTCAATGGCAAAACATTATCATGTCAGTTGTTCAACCGTGCATACACCGTTTTCCGCCAAGACCGGTCGCAATCCAACAGCAGTAAAAACACTGGCGGTGGTGTTCTTTTAGCCGTTCGTTCCTGCTACAACTCACGGTTACTATCACCTCCTGAAAATTCGTCCGTTGAGCAATTGTATGTGTCAATTACTTCTCGTGACTCTACCCTCTACATCTGCGTGGTGTATATTCCTCCGGATCGTGTAAACGATGGTATTCTCATCGAAAAACACCTGCTGTCACTCGATTGGATTGTTTCGCACATGGGCGCCAATGACAACTTAATCATCCTGGGAGACTTAAACCTACGCGACGTCTGCTGGAAGCGCAATGCTCGTGGATTTCACTTTCCTTGTGCATCCCGTTCGTCGATTGGTCAGGCATCATGTAATTTGCTGGACACCTATTGCACTGCAAGACTCGGACAGATTAATGGAATTCCAAACCATAATAACCGCATGCTCGATCGTCTGTTGCTGTGCATTGATTGTTCCATCATGTCAGCCCCCTCCGCGCTTGTTAAAAACTGTAGACATCATCCTCCTATGTTGGTGAGCATAAAGCTCAACACTGTAGAGAGCGTCTTCTATAGCTTTGGCGAAGCCAACTTCCGCGAAATGAATGATTTTCTCTCAAATGTCGACTGGGAAGAGGCACTGCGTGACTGTGATTCTAACCTCGCGGCATCGACGACATCCAACATTCTTTTGTACGCAATTGATCAATTCGTACCAAAGCGAATCAGTCGCGAACCCGTTAAACCTGCCTGGTCGAATTCAGAGCTTAAGCGATTGAAAAAAATTAAAAGGGCTGCTCTTCGTAAGCACAGCAAATACCGAACCGATTCCACGAAAGCGAACACGGAATGCGGACTACCCTCAAGTATGACGAACGGCGTAGTGGAAGTGGGCTCTATCGTGGGTATTGCCGACTTGTTTCGCACACAATTCAGCAGTGTTTTCAACGACGAACGACTCAGCACTCAGGATGTAATTGCTGCGTCTAGTAACGTCTCTCCCTCAACCTTATCCAGCCATCCATTTTCAATCACCAGCGAAATGGTTATTTCAGCCGGGAGGCAGCTAAAAACTTCAACGGGTTCCGGTCCAGATGGCGTACCGTCGTTAGTCCTCAAACGCTGTCGGACTGCTCTCGCGACACCTCTAGCCAACGTTTTCAATCTCTCCTTGATGTCTGAGGTTTTCCCAGCTTGCTGGAAAGAGTCTTTCGTGTTCCCAATCCACAAGAAAGGCTGCAAAAGGACTGTTTCAAACTACCGTGGAATAGCTTCGTTAAGTTATACGTCCAAACTTTTTGAGTTGATTATACTCGAAAAATTGGTTCAAAGTTTTGCACACTGTATCTCGACGGATCAGCATGGCTTCATGCCTAAGCGTTCCACGACGACCAATTTAGTTACATTCACTTCGTTCATCATTCATGAACTAGAACGTGGCCATCAAGTAGATGCCATCTACACAGACCTCTCCGCAGCATTTGACAATGACATTGCGTTGGCCAAATACGACAGGATAGGTGTTCATGATGGCCTGATTACTTGGCTCTACTCCTACCTGACTGGTCGAAACATGTCTGTCAAGATGGAGACTTTGTTTCTTCATCCTTCCCCGTGACATCCGGCGTTCCCCAAGGTAGCCATCTTGGGCCCTTTCTGTTTCTGTTGTACATGAATGACGTCAATACCACCCTGAAATGCCTTAAACTATCGTATGCGGACGACTTGAAACTCTACTTCGTTATAAAAGAACCTAGTGATACAATTTTCTTGCAGCAACAATTGGAAGTCTCCGCTGAGTGGTGTCGTATTAATCGCATGTCACTGAATGTCTCGAAATGCTCTGTAATTTCCTTTGGCCGCAAGCGTTCGCTTCTTCACCATGACTACACCCTGACGGGCATTACTTTGAAACGTGAATCGACTATCAAGGATCTGGGAATACTGATCGACTCCAAGCTCAGATTCAAGGATCATGTGACATACGTAGTATCCAAAGCTTCCTCACAACTCGGGTTCATATTCCGTTTCGACAAAAATTCAAAGATGTATACTGCCTAAAAGCATTATACTGTGCGTTGGTGCGACCTATTTTGGAGTATTCGACGGTCGTGTGGTCTCCATACTACCTAAATGAAAACATGCGTATTCAACGGAAGTTCAAGTTCAAAGCCGTTGTATGCTTATTAACTTGGAGCTTTTGGATGCGAGACGTAACGTATCAATGGCGAGCTTCGTCGGTGATCTTCTTCAGGGAAACATTGACTGTTCTACACTGCTGAGTAGTATCGACATCAATACCCGCCGCCGTAATCTACGATCGCATGCTTTCCTGAACAACCGCCTCTCACGAACCAACTACGGATGGAATGAGCCCATGCGGAGGATGTGTCGCATCTTTAACAGATGCTACAATGTATTTGACTTCAATGTTTCCCGTTTTAGAAATAAGTGCAATTTTAAGAGTATTTTATGTTAATTTGTTTAGAATATGTATACTGTCATTGGGGTGAATATTTTACCTGTTGACCATAACATAAATAAATAGATAAAAAAAATTCCTTACATCCTCACAGTTGCGAGTCTTCTACATCGTTTGAAAAATCATGTAGTTTGTGATATATAGCTCACGCTTAGTGAACACTAAACTTGGGGATCATTTGAAGCGATATTTATAAATAAGGAATGTTGCATACAAGTTTCGTAACAATATTCCAACTATTGAAATTCAGATTTCTTCTGTGACATAAATGAATCATCCAATAAATCAAACCGCTGACTATTAAAACCTTTCACTCAGCGACTGGAAACGGAACGTGATTGATTTTGTCAAAAGTCTGCGGTCTATCCATGAACTTATCCAACTGAATTTCCCAGGCTACTCTCCGGGAACAGGAACAGTCTCACTCAATAAACAAACATCGGTCATTTCGGTTGACGTTTCTTATTATTCCGTAGGTACGTTTGGGGACCCGACGCTTCGGCCACCATAACCGACGTGTTCATTTATCATAAATTGATGTTTCGAACGACGGCGGTGATCGACCCATGGATGGATATTTCAGTACACGTAGGTAACAGGGAAAGATATAGTCCTCGGCTCGTACAAATGCGCGCTCGCACAGACGTCAGAAATGTCATTTAAGAGTGCTGGCCTCTGTGCCAGATTTTTTTTTTCCATTCATTTCGCGTTCCATCTATTTGACGAATGACATCAGCAGCACAGAGCACTGTTCAATGTTCAATGTTCACAGAACCTTTATAATAGTGTGCTCCGTTCATATCACACGATGAGACCAGAGCAGCGCAGAAGAGCAGTGCGGTATTTCATGAGAAATGCAAGCGTCAATCATGAATCAAGGGGAGGTGAATATAAATCAATTAAAATTAATTAAATCGAATTATTGTACACGGGCCGAGGGTTCGTGGGCGAGACATGGATGAGGAGAATGTGACGGACCATAAATTGTGCGCTCGAAAATCGGATCGTCACGAATGAATTTTAATTCCGATGATAAGATCGTCGAGCGCGATGCTTTTGATTGCATTTATCATTTATTCTCGTGGACCGATGGACGGTCAGGTTGCTGTCCAGAGAGCTGGTTGGTTGTTCGTTTTAGTGTTGGATTTTTTTATTATTGGTTATATGGCTCGATTCGATTGGAAATTGCTGATGAATCGGTTCGATTCGGTTTATTTTTATGGGCGGCTTGCTATATTGGGGTTATCTGCATGGTGGGTACATGTTTGATATTCAAATAAAGATAGCACGCACCGATTAGCATAACATGCTGTGACATTTGTGTGTGCCGTGACTAATGTGAAAATGGAATAATAAGTAGTTTCGATGTTTAACATTTATATCAAGCTCGAAATAAATCAATGGATACTAATTATACAATGCAAATTAAGCCAAATACTGTCATACTTACGTGATGAAAGGTGCTGCCAAGATCTAACCAAATCAACCAAAGATGCTTTCGTCGATAAGACTTGAACAAGGTTGGCTTCCGCCGAACTGTGGAGTGGCGTCTAGGATTGCGTCAAACCGTTGTACCCCGTCACTAAATGACATACACGTACGACCACAACAAAACACCAACGTCAATGCTCGGACGTCATCAACTTGTATCTTCCACTTGTGCACAGCTTTGAAGAACCACACACGACGGACGAATGGCACGTGAATCCACCACTAACACAAACAATCGCAATGATGTCGCCGGTAGCAATCACGACACGAAGCAAGGACGCCCGTCGTTTAATTCAAACTTGGTGACCCGTAAGGAATCCGGTCCACATTAGGGATAATAATCCACACCACACTACGAACCAAATCGATTGGATAATTTTGAAACGTGCAATTCCGAAATGGGAAATGGCACTACTGAATGCATCGGTCTCGAACGACAAGTAGGACCGCGGTATCGAAAAGAGAGTAACGAAAATGCATATCCATTCGTACAAGTGATGATGAACACGAAGGTGTAAGGGCATCATGTTGTTGCCAAAAATGCATCACCACGTTATGAAACCCGTGCTGGTTCGATTTGCAAATGTGAACTAGGACCATTTTCTAAGTGAAGCGGTAATGTGGGAGACATAGTCGTGAGCCTTTCTTGCGATTAAGGGAGTGCATCTTTTTTGGATCAAAGCCATGTCACGCGACAAACCACACGGACGGAACGAGTGATGTGAGGTTTGCACAAATTTTTGCTTGACAGAGTCTCGGTCAAGTGCATCTCGTGTACTGTTTGAGGTAAACCCATCTTTCCCGAGCTAACGTATTTACGGTTTAGCTAAATCCGGCATGATCGCCGCGTTGGATCGTATCATCAATATTTAAAATTACAGACCGATAACAGAACCGCAATGATAATGATTACCATCGATGGCAATGAGGTTATTCGCCCGATCATTTCCCAAGAGATCGATTGGCCACCAATCAAGCTGGGATGCTTCAGTAGACTTTGGCTCGCAAGATGGAAATGTGACTTGTGTAAGTAGACTATGCATCGGGACTAAAATGACCAAGAGTGACCAATTGAGTCGATGATGCTCTGTGGACGCGAAGCAAAATTAAACCGAACGGACTCGATACGAATACGTTTATTCATCAACTTCATTTCAATTCAGCAGTTACATGACATGGATCAAGGTAATCTGATATGCAGGTAATTCAAAACACAGATGGCTATCATAACTACTATTCCCCTCGTAAATAGGAAGTTATACAATGCAAAGTGTCAGAGATTCACTCCTTAAGGGAGTTTTACTACTCTACTTGAACGTCTCAAGGGATGATAAGATTCATTTGCGTAGCTAATAGGGGTACCAATGGGGCCAGGCCCTCTCCAGAATAATCCAGTCCCTGCCAGAATTCTTCGTGATTTTGTTTTGACTCACCGCTATTTTGTCAAGATTGTTAAGTTCGATGTTACTATTTAACAGCGATTTATAAAATTAGGCCACAAACAAAGATTGTTGAATACTTTTCTTATGTTCTGAACTAGAAGGAACAATTTTGAGAAATTAAATTAAATCGATGTTTAATCGACGGCAAAATGAAACGTCTTTAGGCTCAACAAATTGGCCAAGGGCCCAGGAACTTCTGGGATCTTCGAAAAACTTTAAGCATTTCTGAGAAGTTCAGGGAACATCGTATAAATTGAGGATACTTATAGATCTTCAGAAAATTCGTAGAAACAAGGAATTTGGAAAAGTTCTGAAAACTGCGTGCAAGTGGAAAATTTATTTAAGTTTGAAGTGCTTCGTAGAAGTTAAGGAAACATTTTTTTTTCAAGGAAGCTCAATTTTGATCGGGAAATTCTATATAATTTCAGGACACTTTAAATAGTTGTGGGAATTACAAACAAATTCAAGAAATTTCGTTCGTGGAACTTCACGAGAAAATCAACGAGAAACGTAGAAAAGCAGAAAACTTTGTAGAATTTTGAGGAGCTGCCTAAAACTTCATATAAGTGTAAAAAATTTTGAAAAAGTTCAAGGAGTTTTTGTACTTTACTTACTTAAGGGTCCTGTGCACCACCAGCGGTGCAAAGGGCCAACGTGAAAGACTTCCATCCTGGGCGGCTGCTCGCTTTTGCCTTGACCTGGGCCCAGGTCAGATTTCTATCGACTTGCTTAATTTCCTTATTGAGGCTCCGCCGCCATGAGCCGCTGGGTCTGCCTCTGCTGCGATGTCCTGCTGGATTCCAATCCAGCGCTTGCTTGCAGATTTCGTTTCCACCCCGTCGAAGTGTGTGGTCGACCACTTTCGCTCTCGAATTTCTGTTGCTATCGGCTTCTGATGACATCGACGATGGAGCTCGGCATTCGAGATCCAGTTGTGAGGCCACCAGGCATGAATTATATACCGCAGGCATCGGTTGATGAAGACCTGCAGCTTTTGAGTGTTCTTCGCTGATACACACCACGTCTCGCTGGCGTATAACAACACAGATTTCACGTTCGAGTTGAAAATTCGGATTTTGGTGCGTTGACTTATCTGGTTGGATCTCCATACGTTTCGTAAACTCGCAAAGGCAGCCCTAGCCTTCTTGATTCGTGCACCTATGTTGCTCTTGGTCCCGCCGTCCGACGCTATTTGGCTGCCAAGATATTGGAAACTTTCGACCTTCTCCACTGCTTGCCCCGCTACCGTAAAGTTGGAAGGGTTGCCCGTGTTGAGACCCGCCGCAGAGGAGCGTTTGGCTAGGTCCTTGAGCTTACTCTGCATATCAGAGCGCCGTTGTGCTAGTAGAGCAACATCATCAGCCAAATCGAAGTCGTTGAGATGCTCCATGGTGATAGGCTGCCAAAGCAGCCCACGATTCGGTACACGGTCAATTGCACCTACCATGATCTCGTCGATTACGATGAGAAACAGTAGCGGTGATAGTATACATCCTTGTCTCACACCAGCGACTACCCGGATAGGGTCGGACAAGGCTTTGTTATGCAGAACTCTGCACGTGAAAGCCTCATACTGCGCTTCGATGAGGTTGACGATTTTATCCGGGACTCCCTTGCGTCTCAGGGCGCCCCACAGATTCTCGTGATTGAGACGGTCGAAAGCTTTTTCGTAGTCAATGAATACCAAATAAAGGGACTCTTGGAATTCATTGATCTGCTCCAGGATGATGCGGAGCGTGACAATATGGTCCACACAAGATCTTCCGGCACGGAATCCTGCCTGCTGCCGTCGGAGAGTCGCGTCAATCTTCTCCTGTATCCGATTCAGGATAACTTTGCACAGAACTTTGAGAACAATACACAGTAACATGATGCCTCGCCAATTGTCGCACACAGTCAGATCCCCCTTCTTTGGGACCTTCACTAAGATGTCCTGCATCCAGTCGGCCGGAAAAGTCGCGGTGTCTCAGATATTACAGAATAGTTGATGCAACATTTGTGCGGATAGCATGGGGTCAGCTTTGAGCATCTCTGCTGATATGCGATCGACCCCTGGAGCCTTGTTGGATTTCATGCTTCGGATAGCTGCTTCAATCTCCTGCAGTGATGGGGCCTCGGAATTGACGCGAGTGATGCGCCTCACCCTAGGCGGATCATGCCGAGATGTTGATGGCTGGTTGGCCGTCGAAACTTGAAGAAGTTGTTCGAAGTGCTCAAACCAGCGTTTCAGCTGGTCAGTGGGGTCGGTAAGCAATTGTCCAGTCGTGTCCTTCACTGGCATCCTCGGGTTCATCCTTGCTCCACTCAGGCGTCGTGAGATATCGTAGAGGAGGCGTATATCGCCAGTGTTTGCGGCTTTCTCCCCTTCGTCGGCCAGGGAGTTCACCCACGCTCGCTTGTCTCGTCTGCAAGAGCGCTTGACTTCCTTCTCTAGAGCCGAGTACCGTTGACGGGTTTCGTTCTTGGCTCCTCTGGTTCTCGCCCGCTCTATCGCGGCTTTTGCTTCTCTACGCTCCTCAATCTTCCGCCAGGTTTCATCTGTGAGAAGTTTTTGTAGAAGATCTAAAAATAATTTAATAAACTTATAAGAACTTCAGGGATCCTCGCTTCAGTTTAGGGAACTACGTTGCAGTTTGCCAGAAATCTTACTTAAAAAAAAAGAACTTCAGCGATCCTCGCTTCAGTTTAGAGAACTTCATTGCAGTTTGCCAGAGATCTTACTTCAAAAAAGCTCCATGAACTTTTTTAATGTTTTGGGAACTCGGTTAAATTTCAAGGAACTTTCTAGATATTCAAGAATATTTAAAAACTCTCAAGTGTCTATTCAAAAGTGCAAAGATGTTCATAAACTTCTAAGAACTTCAGGGATCCTCGCTTCAGTTTAGGGACCTTCGTGCTTGTCAGAGATTACTTCAAAAAAGCTACATGAACTTCTTGGAGATTTTGAGAACATAGATTGATTTCAAGGAACTTTCTAGATGTAGAATATGTGTAGATGTCTTAGGTATCTTTCCAAAAGTGCAAAAAGGTTCAATAAACTTCTTAGAACTTCAGGGATCCTCATTTCAGTTTAGGGAACTTCGTTGCAGTTTCCCAGAGATCTTACTTCAAGCTCCATGAACTTCTTGGAGGTTTTGGAATGTTCGTTAAAGTTCACGGAACTTTCTAGATGTTCACGAATATTTATAGAAGTCTTAGGTGTCTTTCTAGAAGTGGAAACATGTTCAATAAACTTATAAGAACTTCAGAGGTCCTCGCTTCAGTTAAGAGAACTTTGTTGCAGTTTGTCAGAGATCTTACTTCTAACAAGCTCCATGAACTTCTTGGATGTTTTGGGAACTTAGAAAAATTTCAAGGAACTTTCTAGATGTTCAAGAATCTTTGTAGAAGTCTTCGGTGTCATTCCAGAAGTTCGAAGTGGTTCAATAAACTTCTAAGAACTTCAGGGATTCTCGCTTCAGTTTAGGGAACTTCATTGCAGCTTGTCAGAGATCTTACTTCAAAAAAGCTCCATGAAATTCATGGAGGTTTAAAAAGCTTAGATAAATTTCTAGATGTTCACGAATATTTATAGATATCTTAGGTGCTTTTCCATAAGTGCGAAGATGTTCAATAAACTCATAAGAACTTCAGGGATCCTCGCTTCAGCTTAAGGAACTTCGTTGCAGTTTGCCGGAGATCTTACTTCAAAAAAGCTCCATGAACTTCTTTGATGTTTTGGGAACTCCGTTAAATTTCAAGGAACTTTCTAGATGTTCAAGAATATGTTTAGATGGCTTAGGGGTCTTTCTAGAAGTGCAAATATGTTCATTAAACTTCTTAGAACTTCAGGGATCCTCGTTTCAGTTTAGGGAACTTCATTGCAGTTTGTCAGAGATCTTACTTCAAAAAACTCCATGAACTCATTGGATATTTTTTGAACTTCATTAAATTTCAAGGAACTTTCTAGATGTTCAAGAATATTTGTAGAAGTCTTAGGTGTCCTTTCAGAAGTGCGATGATGTTCAATAAACTTCAAGAATCCTCGCTTCAGCTTAGGGAATTTCGTTGCAGTTTGTCAGAGATTATTGAATAACGCAGTAATCTGTGATAATCCATGTTACTGTTGTAAAGAGAACATCCGGAGAACTTTGAGATTTGAGCGTAATTGCTTTCGTAAACAAACACGTCTATCGCCGATTTCTCGTAAATTGAAACTCCATCTCGCAAATAAACCATTCCAAGTGATAGAGGAATCATTTATCTACCTGTTTGTGCCGTTAATTTTTTAGATTGAGCTTTAATTTACGAGAAATCGGCGATTTACACGTTTGTTTACAAAAGCAATTACGCCCTAATCTCAACGTATTTCAATCATACTCTACAATTGGTTATGGGTCCTGAATCCCCAACCGGAAGATTCAGAAGATTTTTTCATTGAAGCAGCAGTATGTCCACCCACAAGCGGAAGTTCGGGATCCAGAGAGCAAGGTCAAGGGAATGGAGATGGCAACGGAAGAGGCAGGACTGAATCAGGAAGTGTTCGAGTCAGAAGTTCCATTGCGCTGCCAGCCATTGAAAAGCTGAAAGGAAGAGAGATTTATACGACGTGGGCATTTACGATGCGGATGATTCTGATCCGTGAAGGAAGCTGGTCTGCCATTGACGAAGGCGGTGAAGATGTTCTTGAGGACGTGAAGCTGCAGGCTCTCACAACGATCTGCCTAAGTCTGTAGAGCTACAATTACAGCCTGGTTCAGGATGCGGAAACTGCGAAGGAAGCTTGGACGAAGCTGCAATCTACATTCCAGGACAGCGGATTAACCAGGAAAATTGGGCTGCTCAGAAAATTCAGTACGGCTAATCAATTGTGCTAGCGTTGAGGCGTACGTGGACGAATTGATGAGCACAAGTCACAAACTCGCATCCGTGGGATTCAAGGTGGACGATTCTTGGCTCGCGGCAATTCTGTTGATGGAACTTCCTGAGCAGTACGAGCCCATGATCATGGTACTCGAAGCGTCCGGTACGGCCTTGACAGCGGATGCAGTGGAGGCCAAAATTTTACAGGACGTTAAATTGGATCGCGGTCCGGTCAGCAGCAGCACAGAAGGTGCCCGTCACAGCAAAACGAGCCCTGTACAAAGATGAGAAGCTGTGCTTCAATTGTGAGAAACCGGGGTGCTTTGCAGCCAAATGTCCCAATGCCAGAAAGTCGTCTTTGAAGCCAAGCAAGTGCTGTATTTTCACTATTGGAGATGTAAGGACCGATTAATTGGATTCTGGATTCCGGTGCCACCAGCCACATGGCAAGTTCGGATCAACCTTTCGTCAACGCGGTTGCCATGGACCATGACGTTGGAACAGCAAACAACAGCAACATGAAAGCCGTTGTAAAGGGAACGGTTTCCGTGGAAGCTGCAGAAGGAAGCGTGGAAGGTTGCTAATGTGTTGAAAATTACGGACCTAGTAACCAACCTGTTATCGGTCAGCACCATCTGTAAGCGAGGAAACAGTATTCACGGCGAACAAATGCGAAGTCTTGGATGAAAGCGTGAGCTTGTTATTACCGATCTGGACATCGATCAGATGGATGCAGTTACAGCCTTTTTGCAAGGAGAGCTGCACGATGAGGAGATCTACATGCTGCAGCCGCAGGGGATAGACCATCGAAATGGAAAGGTATGCCGCTTGAAGAAAACTCTTTACGGCTTGAAGTAATCAAGCCGAGTATGGAATGCGCAGCTGGATGGCGTGCTTCAGAAGTTTTGACTAATTCGTTCCTCAGTAGATTGTTGCCTGTACTGGATGATGTGTGGAGACAAGCTGATGTTCGTCACTATTTACGTAGACGATTTTCTGATCTTCACCAACGATCAGAATCTGAAGCGAAAGCTGAAGACATATATATTTGAGCGAACGATTCAAGATGAAGGATCTCGGTGAAGCCAATTGTTGATTGGACATCCGGATTACGAGGAATCAAGCAGAAGAAAAGCTCTGGCTCGATCAACAGGCGTACATCGAGGAAATCATTCAGGGTTTAGGGATGACCGAATCGTATCCTGTAGCAACGCCAGCTGATCTCAGTTTAAGACTGGACAAATCATGGGACCGAGAAACCAGAACTAAGTCGAGGAGATTAAGAAAGTTCCTTTCAAAGAAGCTGTTGGATGTCTGTCTTTCGTAGCCAAGGTGACTCGTCCGGACATCGCTTTTGCGGTGAACGCAGCCAGTCAGTTTAGCGCCAATCCGGGACGTCAGCATTGGTAGGTCGTCAAGAAGATAATTCGGTACTTGAAAGGAACATCGACGAAGAAGTAGCAGTATTCCAAGCGAGGATCATCGGAACTAGTCGGATTTAGCGATGCCGATTGGGGAGGAGATCCAGATAACCGAAGGTCAACGACGGGTTACGTGTTCACGTTACAAGGTGGAGCCATATCGTGGAACGTAAAAAAGCAGCCCACCGTTGCTCTTTCATCCTGTGAAGCAGAGTATATGGCCCTGTCTTGAACAATTCAGGAAGCAATGTGGTGGAACAACTTGCGGTCGCAGATATTCGAGCAGCGGCCAGTATTTATCAATTGCGACAACCAATCTGCAATCAGCATCGCGAATAATGGCTCAATGGGTTAGCATCCGCTACCACTTTGTGCACGATAGCCTACAACAAGGAGCCACGCAGTTGATGTACATTCCGACCATGGAGCAACCAGCTGATGGTTTCACAAAGCCATCTCTTGGAATTCCGTTAAATTTCAAGGAATTTTCTAGATGTTCAAGAATATTTGTAGAAGTCTTAGGTGTCTTCCAGAAGTGCAAATATGTTCAATAGGCTTCTAAGAACTTCAAGGATCCTCGTTTCAGTTAAGTAAAAAATCGTTGCAGTTTGTCAAAGATCTTACTTCAAAAAAGCTCCATAAACTTCTTGGAGGTTTTGGGGAATTCATTAAATTTCAAAGAACTTTCTAGATGCACAAGAATATTTGTAGATGTCTTAGGTGTCTTTCCAGAAGTGCAATCATGTTCAGAGACTTCGTAGAATTAAGAGAGATGGAGAAAATGTGGAATTTGGAACTAATTCAGAAAACTTTGTAGAAGAAATTTTGTAAAACTTCAGGGAGTTTTGTATATGTTCAGGAAAAGATGCATAAGTCACAGGATATTCTTTCAGACATCCTTCCTAGACAGCTCAAAATATTCAAGAGATCTCCTTATACACGAAGATATTTATTTGGATATTTTTCCAAAGCTTCAGGTTGATCGAGGAGGTTGAGGATCTCCAACTGTTTAAAAATCTAAATATGCTTTCAAGACTGTAGGTTGTTCAAGAAGTAATCAAAAGTTTGTCAGCTAATTGAATCTGATAGAATCTTGAAAGTTGAATCTAGATTTTGTGGACATGTTTGTACATTCTCAATGGAGAAGACCCGTGCCTTCCATCACCGTCTTAAGTGATGGCTCGATCTCGCCGGGATCCAGTCGCGATGCCACCATCACGCCAGAAAACTGCCCAAACCTAAAAACCAGCCGCAAACAAGATACCCCCATGCCATCGACTCCCGCTACATCCATTGAACAGCCCTCAACACCGCAATCATCGAAGCGACCCATCAGCCAGCTAGACCCTCCTGGTCACCCCCCTCGCATAGCCCAAGCTCCCAAAATCCAAAGATCGACTCCCGCCCATACCTCGCCAGTCTTTCCGGAAAAAGCCACGCAAATGAAAGAAAAGTGGAAGTAGTACGTTATCCGCTGACTACTTTCAACGGACCCTCGACCCTCGCTATTCACCTTGACAACTCTAATGGTCACCTCAACACCTCCATCAGCTGCCAGCCACCGTCAACTGTGTCTGTGTTTGGCGTCGGGTAGCCGGGGCACCGTTGAACCGGAAGCTATATCCCAACCGGAATCTTCGGACACCCCTCGGCGCCCGAGTCAACCAGTCGAATCAACGAGTGCTTCGGGCACGCAGGGCACCGGCAGTGCGGACGTCTTAACCCCACCGGAACTGCCGGATCACCTCTGCGGCCCGCGGACGAAGAAACAAAAGAAGGGCCCAGCGATAGCCCCCGGTAGTTGGGGCCCCGTCGGTGCGGACGCCATTTCCACACCGGAACTGACGATAACCCCCCTTTGCCGGGGGATGTCTGGAAGAGGGACGCACAAGGGCGGAAACGCTCATCCCCCTATGGACGACGAGGGAGTCAAGTCTGCTTCAAGTATCGGGACGGACAAGGGCTCATCGACCCATTCCGCGAAGGACTTCGAGGGACTCGAACACGCTGCTATAACAACGACCGAAGCTGCCAAACCCAGTACGCCACCATGTAATACCTCTTCTCTCTCTGTTGGGTCATCCCTGCCTTGGGTGGGTGGAACTTCTACACCTGCCCTTGGTGGGGCCCTGTCTCATTCAGCATACAACATCAATCTGTCAGCTGGCTCCGACTATCACGATGGATCGGACACCTACGATATAGATCTACCCGTCGACCAGAGGGGCAGTTACCGTCGCGATGAAACTAGCTCCACAATCACAGCGCGCTCGTACCCCACTCCTGCCTTGCCTAAGCCAGTAAACTTTATCCTGCAGTGGAACATTAACGGGTTCCTGAACCACATTGGTGATCTAGAGCTCCTTTGCCACGACGATCCCCCCTGGGTCATTGCACTCCAGGAAACTAACAAAGCGACAACAGACCAAATGAACCGCTCTCTAGGCGGTAAGTATACGTGGACAGCTAAACGGGGAAACAACTTCCGGCACTCCGTGGCCATCGGGGTTTTGAAGATGATACCTTTCCAGGTTGTCGATATGGACTCCGAGCTTTCCACGGCTGCCAAACCTGCACGATCAACTCAGCGAAGCCATAGCTAAACTACCGGAACCGCGCATCCTGGTTGGAGATCTGAACGGGCACCACCCAAGCTGGGGCTGCCCCCGCTCCGACCCTCGAGGTGTTACCCTGGTTGATATTTTCGAGAAAGAAGACATGGTGATTCTGAATGACGGTGTGCCCACGTACTTTAACGGGCGGCATACTTCTGCCATAGACGTCTCTGCTGTCAGCCGCTGCTTTGCCGGAAAAACTCAGTGGAGCGCGAACACTGATCTCTATGGTAGTGACCACTACCCCATCAAAGTTCAACTTTCGACCGCCATCTTCCCGATGACAACACGGAGGCCCCGATGGCGCTATGAACAAGCGGACTGGGATAGCTATGGTGAAGCCTTACAGTCCTTGTTACTACAGCGTAATCCGAACAGCATTGAAGACTTTTCAGAAGTGGTATACGAAGCAGCAACAGCAACCATCCCAAAAACCAGCAGCGTTCTGGGCGTCACTACCATGAGTCACTCAATCAATGCCAGCAAGAAATCCGTGTCGCCAAACGAACCAGCTGGATGGACTTTCTGGAAAGAATGAATTCGTCACAGTCTTCGGCCGACTTATGGAGGCAAGTCAACGCCCTCAGTGGGAAACGGCGCATGACACCGCTCCACGTACAGATTAACGGTGAATCTGTTTCTGACCCTGCAATTGTAGCGAATTCAAGCGGAAAGCTAAGCCTTCGACGTCATCCATTGCAGGTTTTTTCTGTTTCTTCTGACGCTGGAAACTCGGACATCAACCAGGCATTCTCCTGGCAGGAATTGCAGCATGCCCTCCGGTGCAGCAACGGAAAGTCGGCGGGTCCCGACGAAATCGAGTACCCTCTACTCAAAACGTTACCAACTCCAGGCCAGCTACAGATGCTGGAGCTTTTCAACAAGCTCTGGCTCACCAACTCGTATCCAGCGTCGTGGAAAGAGAGCTTAGTCATTCCCATCCCAAAAGCCAATGAAACATCCCGTGAAGCTAGCAAGTTCCGGCCAATAGCCTTGACATGCTGTATGGCCAAGGTCCTGGAGCGAATGGTCAACAGTAGGCTAAAGCATTTCCTTGAAGCCAAAAACCTGCACGCCTTCCGTCAAGGGTACGGAACGTCAACTTATTTTGCAACATTAGGGGAGGTCCTCAAGAGTGCCAACAATAGCGGTCTCCACACCGAGATCGTCTCGCTGGATATATCGAAGGCCTTCAACAGGACGTGGACGCCCCTCGTCTTAGAGCAGCTTGTCAACTGGGGGCTGTGTGGACCCATGGTCCACTTCATCAAATATTTCCTGAGCGATCGCTCTTTCAGAGTCGCAGTGGGCAACACGAGGTCCCAGCTTTTCGGAGAAGAGACGGGCGTCCCACAAGGCGATGAGCAAAGCAGCGACGAGAAGATCCACGGCCAGCGTTTCCTTCTAAGTGTGCTTCTTTTTCATTATCATTTCTTGCTGATAGTCTAACTAGGCGTTATAGAAATGAAGCGTTGAACACGTTTGTATGAGAGAAACAAAACTCGAGTTCATTTTAGAGCTTCGAAAATGTAGAGCCCTGGTAGTGACACCTGTAATAAGGCCCATTGTCAAGAATTAGCCTAAATGCCCCTAATTTGGGCCCATACAAAAATTCAGCAATCGACTAAATTTTCAATAGCACCCAAAATATCCATTAGTACCGTCCCAATGACGCGTTCATCTAGATAAAATTGATAGATAGCAGATTGTTAGCGATGGACCCAATCTTAGATTCATAGGGCCAACATTAGAGCCATTTCCCCTATCATAATGCTATTGTAAAAATAAATTTATTTATTATCTAGTTACAAACAGGGAGCTAGATTAGTTTAGCTTTATTATAGAGACTTTCAGAACCTGGCTGGTTCGTCTCTTTCGGAAAAGAGGGTGGGAGCTCCTGAAGCAAGTCCCCTAGTTACAGAGTTTTGAAGGGCGGAGGTTCCAGTATGGAGCCACCCTAGTTTCAGAGTTGGGGTTCCAGAAGGGTACCCCTCTAATTGCAGAGTTTTTGTTTTACAGAGTTAAATATGGAGTTGTATCTAGGACGTAGGCTTGGTTCGTTGCAGTGGTTCGCTAAACGGGTATTCTGTAGTTGGTTGTATTGTAAGAGCATGCTGCAGTACTCCGGGTCGTGGGCAGTGCGAATTGCAGGTGTAAGAATATGATGTTTTTGGGTACACGGTTCAAGTGAATAGAACAAGATTTTCCGTAGCATCGTAGTTGGTTAAGGTAAGTTTTGGTAGTAGAGAGAGTCAGATCTTTATGAAGCATATTAATGCCGTTGACGGTTCATTGGCCAGAGCGTCTCGGATATTGGTCGGGATTCCGCATAAGTCCCAGATGCCTTGAAAACAGAGGCAGTTGACAATGATGTGTTCAACTGTCATCGTCGTATTGCGGGGATCGCATATCTTCCTCAAAGACGATACTACTCCCATATTGTGGTTTGAGCGTGTATGTCCGCATCGGAGGCAAAACAAGATGCATTGGTCACGCCAGTTAGGTTTGTCGACCCATTTATTGATCACACTTTTAACTTTTCGGATGATTGGTTCTCTTCTATTTGAACAGGAGGCAGTACGGAGGACAGATTTGGCGAAATTTTTGGCATCTGGACCGTGAACATTCTTTGTGGCCAACTGACCACAACGACCAGTGGCTGCAAGATGGTCAGCTTCGTTATTGCCTTGGATGCCGCAGTGACCCAGGATCCAGACAAAGACAGTATTCTGGGGAGACCACGTTTGAATGCCTTCTATCCACGGATGTTTAGATATCGGAGATTTCAAAGCGGCAAGGGCGCTTGCAGAATAAGATAGATCAGATCAGATGCACAGTGGTTTATCGGAGGGTGTGGTGGCAGCGTAGAATATTGCGTCGATTTACGCTGAGAAAACTGAGCATTAGTCAGGAAGCCGGGAAAAGGAACAGCAAGTGTGATCAGCGAGCAGTCGATGTTGAAGGTTGGCGCATCCACCCATCCCGTAGCACCTTTTCAGTGGACCTTTGACACCGTGGGGAGCTCCAGATGGGCAAGGGACTTAAGGACTCTATTTCCTATAAAGACCTCAGAATTTCCGGAAATCTTCTCCAGGTAGCTGATAGCCCTGCAGCACAGCGTTTCCGCAACTTGATATTGGAAGGATAGGGTGCCGAGTTCAACGCAGGTTGATTCGGCGGAGGTGGATGGTAGAAGTCTGGTGTTGATCGAGTCGCTGGTCATGCAGAATAGCTCGGTACCGTAAATATTAAACTATTCACAGTGGCTTTAGCTATCCGGAGGAGATTGTCTCTGCTGCTGCAAATTGTGTGGCTTGGAGACTGTTCTGAGGATGTTCAAGCTGTGCTGCATTTGGTCTTGATATCATTAAAATGATCACCAACCCTTATACATCGATCCAAAGAAACTCCGAGGATGTGGATGGTCTTTTTGCATGGGTTCCTTTCTAGTGGCAGCTAAAACTGCGGCTTGAGTTTACCTATGCAGTTGCTTCAGGGTGCGGCCGATTGCCAGCAGCACAATATCGTCCGCATATACTAATACGTTAACATCCTTGCCTAGGGCCTCGAAGATACCATTCATGGCAATCAGAAAGATAGTGATTGCTAAGACGGACCCTTGGGGAGCAGCTGTCTGCTCCGTCCAGGTTGATGAGTTGTGGCGTGTTGCCGGTGGTCTAGGAGATCGTTGTCCTCAAGATGGAGAATCAGACGGCGGTTGACCACCCGCTCCAATATTTTGCTAGCGCAAAAAGTCAGCGAGCTGGGGTGAAAGTTATTTGGAGTCGAGGCTGCTTGGTAATAGGGACTACCAGGTTATGTGTCTAAACCGTGTGCAGGGTGCTTACTGTCCAGATGCTAGGTAGAAGAAATTTAAACATAGAATAACCCATATGGCCCGGACGACTTCCCCTTGCATAGACTCAAGGGCACGTTGAGTTCGTCGAATCTGAAAGGGGCATTGATAGCCAAAGGAGGATTGTCCTCCAAGATGGTGAAATTATCGAGGGAAAGAATAGTTGCGGATACAGTCCTTGTCGTATCGATCGATGGCAGAAAGGGAAGTGAAGTGATCAGCAAGAGCATCGGTAATGGTTGAAGGATAGCGTGTAACGCTGTCAGGCAGACGAATAGCTAAACCTTGAGCCTTCCTTTTCCCGTTCAAGGCGTTCGTTCGGCTCCATACCTTTGATGCCGTTTGGTTGGAGTCTTCCAAGCTGCTAGATTTGGCATGATCTGGTGGCATTCAATTCGCGATAGAATTTCGTGGCACAATCCGGGTGGTTTTTGGGAAGTTGTTTAGCGCCCGGAGAGCTTTTCTCCTGGCTTTAACAGCTGTTTGGTATTGGAAGACCATCAATGAAGAGATTTCCGAACAATTTGGGCTATATTTCGGTATGGCCACTTTGGCCACCTGGAGGATGGACTGCTCTAGATCCTCCATGTTTGCCGGTGGATTGTCGTTGGAGAGCTGGGTGATGACTTGATTGTACAACTTCCAGTTGGCCTGAACGTAAAGCCATGTAGGACGTTGCGAAACTTCAGGGAGATTGTCTGCCAGAGAAATAGAGATTGAGAAATGATCACTCCCCGCAGGGTCTTCAAAGGTTTTCCACAGAAACTTACTAACGATAGAGAAGCTGGCCGAGGACCCATCTATTGCGTGTTCGACCTATCGTTGAGAATAACATGATCTAGATTTTCCAGAAGTTTTGCGAATATAGAGCCACGGGAGTTGGCTTTAGGACTCCCCCAGAGAGGATGGTGGCCGTTGGAGTCGCCGAGTACGAGAAGTGGACCGCTGCTGGTTGGAGCAAAGATCTGGGAGTTAACTGTGTGGTAAGTAAAAACTTACCACAGATCAATCTTTAAAATTTGTCGAACCTCTTAACGGAATCCCTTTATGAAGAGCTTTGAGTGTGTTGGTTTATTTCCTTTAAATTCCGTTTTAATTGCTTATCTTTTGACAGATACGCGTATTTCATCTACTACTTGCAGACTTCATCAGTGCCAAGTACCACAGATACCGGAAAAAGGATAATCAATCTTGATGCCAACGATGGGGATGTCAACGTT